GATAGTGAGACAATGAAATCAGGACCAGTCACAGGAGGAAAATTAAAAGGACCAGGAACTAGAAAATGCAAATTATACTACACCTGTCGATCAAAGTGCTGGGACATACCAGTTTCCTTGTCTGTTGTCTGCCATTGGAGTTTCTTTATATCAGATAAAGCTACATTGCCCCCCAATGCTAACTCAGTTACATCTTTGATTGTAAATCCAACAAATAAATCCTAAAACATTATCAACTCTAGCATAGTCTAACAGATCATCGTAACTTACTTTAAGTTTAACGTCAACATTATTTGACCATTTCTCAGGGTCACTAGATTCGAACTGATGATCCAAACGAAGGAGAATTGTTGACTGATCCAAATGTTCAAGAGTTAATAAGTGAACATTATCAGGAAGAGGGGTAGACAGTCCACTATACTAAAATTAACACAAATAATGTCTGTGTCTGCAGTACATTGCTGTAATACCTTAAGGTTATAGTCACTAAGCTGTAGTCCATCATTTGTAGTGAAGGACAGTTCTGGTATCATCATTAACTCTTCTGCCATCATTCTCTGAGCATATGCTGAACTATCCATAGTATCAAGCATTAACAGATGCTTTCCACGAATAATCAAACCCTTTCCACTAATTCCTTTCTCATTTAATGCTTCAAGAACACTACCAGGCTGCCCTCTCAATAAACGCCTGTGAACCTAAAGCATAATTATTATGACATTGAATCTCAATCCATATACATAATTATTCACCATTAAATCTATAGATCCATCAGTTATACTAGCTCCTCCTTGTGATCTGTCATTAAGTATAGTAAACTGAACATTCTTCTCTTCATCCTAATAATACAATTATTAGTTAATGGTAGGTAAACACTAATTGACTAACTAACTAACTCTTATGTATATTCTGCTATTAACTGGATAATAGTTTCCTGCTATTGGTTCTGTATTGTTATACTTCCATGTAGGCCGATAATTCCTCCTGTATAAGGTAGTATAGAAATGTTATACTGAAGTACTTACACTCTCTTTTGCATGTCTCTTCCATTGGAATCAGTATAGAATATGGAGTCACTCTTAAGATCAGTTGTGAAATGTGATATTATCTCTTTACCCAAGCTATCCCTATAGCAAGATCTCACAATTATTATTTTCACAATTATAACAGCTCATTACTTTATTGGTATTGGTCCAACAGTGTACTCTAGCTCAACTGCTGGTGTATTCTTATACAGTCTAACAACCTAACAGTATATCTCATATACAATCAGTGAAACTATTGCATTGCTAACTTGAGACACCCAGGGAGAAAATACCTGTCTAACCTCAGACACTATTGCACCCTGACAAATTGAGCATAAAATGTCAATTGAGCTACAGAAAATGCTATCTCACTTCAACAATATTAATTTCAGCAGAATTATTCTCATTTCCAACAGGAAACATCTCTGAAGTATTCGGACGAAATACATAAGCTTGCGATAGCTGTGATTTGTAGATAAAAGAAACAAAAACAATACTTTCTTCTTACTACTGGACTAATCTTATCTCCAATACTAGCTTCATACCAGAAGAACTGTTGATTGACATTGCTAGTAATACCAGATACAGTATTAGTAATTGATTTAATGTGACCAGACTCTCCATCAAACTCAACCTTATAATACTGTGTACTAATAGTATAACAGTATCATAATAAACACATCAATTACCTTATTACTGATGGTTACATCTTCTTTGATATTACTTATAACTGATGACTTTTGTGTGCTTTCTAACATAAAATCGAAAGTGTGTCACTATTCACTAAGTATAAACTATAAACTCACCTAAATAGTCTCCATTACTAGTTTTACTGGTGTATATAGCATAGCCAAGAGGAGGTACATCAGTCACTTCAAATACAGCAACATATTCAGCCTTTGCATCACCAGTAACAATCAGTGATATTGATTTAGTTACATTACTAATAGGAACAACCTATCAAACAATAATAGTCACATCATCTAATGAATATACAGATCATTAATACCTGTACAGGTACA